GTTACCCTGAACAGGCCTCAGAAGAACAGTGCTCTGAGTCATACTGATAAAACCAGTATCTTATTGAAAGCCTTTGAGCCAGGCAGTTAACATATAAAACATACAAATGATCTCTAAGGACTGCTGTGCCCCCCACCTGACTTCTCATACCCATAAGGCTCTTTGTTCAAACATCTTCCAGGGTACCTACAATCTGCCCCAATGTTCTCTCTCCCCTTCCCACTGTTTTTCTCTATGGGACACGTCATTGTTTATATTCTATTCCCTCTCACCAAAATGTACACATTTGAAGGAATATGGGAGGTGTCAGCATTTGTTTTCCCAGATTGATGCAGGTGATCTTCAGGCTGCCACATTTTACTCCAAGCAGTTTCTCATTTGCCCCGGTAATTGTTGCTAATATTCTACATATCTCCCACGGGCTTGGTGCTAGGGGCTGAGCTTTCCATAAAAGTGCCTGAAATGCCCAGGGATCTAGGTGTGGAAGTCAGCCAAAGATGAAAGTGCTTCAAGGCTTTGCCCCTTGACACTCAGTTTAACTGTCTAAGGCAGGTGGGGATCTTGAACCTAGGCTGTAAAACTAATGACTCCCCTTTAGTGAGCACAGGACATTTAGTGAGCTGTAATTATGGCTGAAAAGAAATCACCCTGCGTGTATGTTACCACATTTAATCTTCTGTCACATTCACCTTAACCATTTTGTAAGAAAGAAAACTCAACCTTGGGATCCCAAGAAATGTGCCTGGTTATTGCTTATTTCCTTCCCCACTCCAGTTATTTCCTGAGTCCTGTGCACCCCCATTTTTACAGCTTCCCAGCCCCCTCAGCATCTCTACTGCCAAAGCCAAGGACACAAGAGGCCAATTGGAGACCAAGATTCACAAGAAACTGATCTTTACTCAACAAAGTTCTACACAAGTGGAATCTCACGCCACCTCGGCGCCAATCCCCAGCACAGCATGGTAACAAATGGACAGACCCTGGAGCCCGCAGGAGGAAGAAAATGAAGGGGAGGAGGGACATGGGAACAAGTGGATCTGCGGATCGAGGCCAGTCAGGGTCCGCAGCCCCGGGCAGGAGAGAAGGTTGAGAAGCTACAACTTCGTTGTGCAAAAATCAACCAAAAATAAATTAAAAATTAAATAGTTTTCTTAAAAAAAAAAAAGAAAAGAAAAGAAAAGAAAAGAAAGTCAATGAACCAGGCTCCCACTTCCCTGGAGGTGGCTGGAGTCCTGCCCTCAAGTTGGGTGGAGGAGTTTCCACGCCCGTCAGCCAGCCAGCCAACCTGTCCACACTCCCCAAGGCCCTGCAGAGGATGCTCCAAAGAACTGGAATTACCAGAAAATTAAATGGTCTTTAAAAATTTTTTTTTTCTTTTTTACAAATGGCTTCCAGAAACCTGCTGGAGTTTCCAAGGTGGGGAGGGGGAACCAGCTGAGTTTATGGAATGTGCACCAAGTGCCCCTTGGAATAGAGGCAGGGCCTAACCCTGTCTGAGAAAAGACACAGGGCCGTGATGGGGGTGGGGTTCAGGAACCCAGTGGGATGGACAGAGCAGCGCCAGGATGCAAGAATCCAGCAAACCCCCCAAAACCCCAAAAGGGGCCCCCAAAGAAGTAAAAAGCAGGGGAGGAGAAAAAAGAAATCCTTAAGGGGGGGCAGGACCCAGCTTCATTTCGAGGCCAACTCAGAACCACACTCCCTCTGGTTCTAGGGGAGCCTCTCCCACTGTGACCACGTCCCCAACTGATCCCAGTAGGGTCCCTACAATTGCTACCTCAATCCGGTGGGGTCTCAGGGCCCCTGGGAGCAGTGATGAACAGGAAGCCCCATGGCCTCAAGGTCGGGAGGACACCACCCCTCCACCAAGCCCTTGCCTTTCCTTCTTGCTGCCAAAGTATAAGCCTTCATTGCATCCACATCAGTTAAATGCCCCAGCCCTCATCTTAGAAACGCGGGCCTGGAACCTGAGGAAGGCTCTCAGAAGCAGAGAAACAGATTGCCCTTAAAATGGACATGCTTGTGGAGAGAGGCAGAGGGCATGTCAGCAGCTCTGGCTAACCCAGCTCTCTCAGAAAAAGGCCCCAGGCCAGTGTCTTCAAAAGTCACTGGAGCACGAGAGGGGGAAAGGGAGACCTCTGGTCAGCCCCAGCCATTCCCCGGGTCTCCACTCTTCTGACTGGGATGGGACAAGGAGGGGGACACTCTGGCTGAGGCTGCCAGAGAGCTGGCAGGACGTGTGCAGAGCAGGTCCAAAGCATGTGCGTGCTCACGGGGCAGCCCCAAGGTGGCCGTCCTCTTACCCCGCCCCGGGCTCCCGGAAGAGGACCCCAACCCACCCAGCCCTCCCCAATCATCGCCAATTCCAGTAAAACAGCAGAAGCTTCTTAAACTCTAGATGCAGGTTACACGGAAGGCCTTACGGGTTAACTCAGGGGTTCACTAATTCTACTGTCTCCATGCAGTCAGGGAAATGGTGGGGCGGCTGGCCCAGCCTGGCTGGCAGCAATGCCCGCACATGCGTGTGGCCACGTGTGTACGTGAGTGTACGCATCTCTACAGGGACCCCCCTCCCCGCCTGCTTTCCCCCTGCTTCATCCTAAGCCGGATTCAGTCGGCTGTGTTGACTCTTCCCTCCCACATGGCTGGCCCAAGTGGGCTGCCTGAGGTGACCCCACTCAGAGAAAGGGGCCCTTGCTGCCACAAAGTCCCACCCCCCTCCCGTTTGTAGGATGTGTGGAGGCCCCACCCACCTGCCCACCGCTGGCTGGCCACACAGGCCAGGCGTGGCAGGTAGATGGACAGGGAAGGCATCTGGATTTGGGTCCCACTCACTCCTCCCTAACCCCCCTCGACCAGGGCACGGCAACTTCTGGACGCAGCGTGCTCCCCAGCAACCCCTCCGATGACGACGCAGACAGAAACCTGCAGGAAGAGGAGGTGTCAGGGCCTGTGCCTCTCCAGCCCGTGACAGCACCAGCCCCGTATACATGCAGCCCCCTCACCTGACAGTCGCGATGCTCTTCTAGACCCCATAGAAGGCAGCCAGCCTCTCCTTGAGCAGCGGCGGGAACTGCTCCGAGAACTGCTGCCAGTTCTCCTCCCCAACTTGATCTTTGAAGCCATGGAGAATCTGCGTGTGGGGGAGGAGGGGCGCCCAGAACAGAGCAGATGAACTTGGCCTCTTCCCCCAGAGGGTCTCCCCATTGCCGCCTCCTGGGACTACATCAGGGTGAAGCGGGAGCCTCACCTTATAAAACATGTCCCGAAGGTCATCCTTCGGGCTCACCCAGGAGGCTACAGCATCGCAGAAGAAAATAAAGTCCTGAAATGTGACGAATCCCGTGTGAGGGGTGGGCCAAGCCAGCCCCAGTGCCTTCCCTCAGAGCCCAGCCGCCCCAACCTGCACGACGCCCCCAGGGTTGACGCCTATCATCATGCAGATGCCTCTGAAGGCTGAGTCCTTCTCCTCATTGTCCCTGATGTTCCTGAGGGACGTGCACCTGTGGGGAAGGTGAGCAGCAGGGAATCAGCCGGCAGGGCTGGGGCAGGAGGGGCCATCCACAGGGAACAGTGGGAGGTGGGGCTGGGGTGGGCCGGGCCATGTGTCTAGGGGGCATGGAGGAGGCAGGGGGTCAGTGGACGATGGAGCCGGGACGTGCATCTACAGGTGGGCAGGGCTGGGCAGGCACAGGCAAGGGCACGGGGTGGGGCCTACTGCTGCCCCGCCCACCACACAGTAGGCCCCACTCAGGTGAGCACACACCAAGGCCGGATGAACTGCTGCAGCATGGGCGCCACCTCCTGTGGGCACACGTAGCCCAGGCGGCCGATGGTGATGGCTGGAATGGCAGAGGGACTCGTCAGACGACCTGCAACCCCGAGCGGCCCCGGGACGGTACGTGGCGGGGCCTCCGGCACCAGGCACCAGCCCTGCCCCACAGACTCCAAGGGAATAGCGCCTGCCAGCCACCAGGGCCCAGGAGCTTGGCCCAGCCTGGGACTTCCTCCCAGGCCAGCATCTTTCTTGCCTCTCCTCCCAGAACCCTTTCCAGGTCCTTCCAGATATCTTCCCTGGTTCATTCCCAAAGCCACTTAACTACCCTCCCAGCCAAGAAGCCCACCTCTGGGAGGGAAGCAAGGGGGCGGCGGCAGCCCAGACCTGGCGCCCACCTGTGTTTTCCAGCAGCGTCTTGGGTGTGTTGGGCCGGTTAATGATCTCCACCAGGTTGTTGAGGACCATCTGCACATAGGGCTGCATCTCTGCCCCTGGGGGACCAGATAGTCAGCTGCACACAGCCCATGACACCTACGCCACCCACCCCTGTTACATCTAGACTCTGGCCAACCACGTCCAGTGAGGGAGTGGAAAACCTTCAGTTGGTCTCCAGGCCTGGACCCACGACCAACTGGAGACAGACCCTCCAAACACCAGAAGCTTCCCAGGAGTCACCGCTGAACACCAAGGTGCAGCCAGACGGCCCAGCTTCCTTGTGGGGAGGGGAAAGCAGCCACAGTCTCCCTACCAATCCCAGTGAGGGCCTTTCAGCCAACTGCATCCGGGGTGGGAAGGTGGCAAACAGTCCAATCAGAACAGGCCTCCTGACCTGCCTCTTTGCAGAAGCCAATCACAGATGGCCTTTCAGTCATTTGGCCCATCTCTGATGAAAATGCTCAGAGGTGTCCTCCTGCCCCTGGCCCATGGGAGCCTTCCTCAAGGAGCACCGGCACCCTCTTGAGGAAACCTGTCACTCAAGAGCCAGACTCCTGTCCCCAGGCCAAGAAGAGGCCAATGGGGACGGGCAGGGCCTGCCCACCTACAGGGCACTCACCCATCTGCATGCAGATCTCGCCAATGGCCCAGGTGGCATTGTTGCAGACAGAGATGAATTCAGGGTTTAAGTTGGTGCCCAGGATGGGCATGAACTCAGCTGTTGGGGAGAAAGAAGGGTGCTGAGCAGGAAGACCCGCCAGCGTGAGCTCCCCGACCTGGCTGGGAGGGCCCCATCAGACAGTACGAATACATCCCAGTTCGGTCACAGTCCTCCCTAGTCACCGTTTCATCACTTGAGGCCAGGGCTGGCATCATGAGACAAGGACAAGGTGGGTGTCATACCAATACAGGGCTTGACGTGGATGAAGCAGGCTTTGGTGAGGTCTCCCAGGAGGGCAAAGGAGCTCTGCCGGACCTCAGGCATCGAGTCCTGGGGGTCAGAGCAGGGTAAGCATGGTAGGGCTCCCCTCCCCCAACAAGCCGGGACCTCAATTAATCCCTTAGCTCAGGGCAGTAGGAAAACAGTCCTTGGGGCAGTGCCTGACCCTTCCACTTCCCAGCACTGAGGCTGCGGGTCCCCTATGTATATTGGGGCTCAGGTCACGTAAACCAGTGCCTCGCTCAGGACACTGCTACAGATGGGGGAGGCACATGTAACTGCTGGCCATCCTGGTCTGGGGTGATACTGAAGGGGCTGTGCTTTCACATTTCCCATCTTCTACATTGGTGGCTCGCAAAATGAGCTTTTTACTCATAACTTATTTGAATCCCCTTTTAAAATAATTACAAGGTTTTTTTTTTACAGGCCTCCTTTCCCGGCCCTGCCCCCTGCCCCCAGGGTGGCCCATACAGGCTGTTGGGTATCATCACTGTGAGAGATCTGTGAAGGGTGCCCACCCACCTGCATGCACTGGAAGAGCAGCGTCATGATGTTGCTGCGGGCCACCAGCTGCTCCACGTGGCCACCCAGGCCCTCAGCCAAGCCGCTGAGCAGGTCTAGCGCCACAATCATGAAGTCCTTGTCGGGGGCCTCATACTGCTCAGGGTGCTGGGTGTACATCTGGGCACAGTTGGGGTGGGCAGGAGAGTGAGGGCGAGAGGCCAGGCTATGGCAGCAGCAGAAGGGTAGGCAGATGGGTGCTCACCATGGCCTGGGCCAGCGTCTTCTGCACTAGGGTGACGCAGCGCTGGTAGACAGGCTCACAGTACGGCAGGAAGCCGCTCTGCAGGGCAGTGGCCACGGATGACAGGCACTAGTGGGAGGAAGGCAGGAGAGGTGAACTTAGGTGGGGTAGGGCAGGGCTGCGGGAGGGAGCCTAGAGCCCACCCACCTCCAGCAGCGGGAACAGGTCCTTGTCTTCATCCTTGAGTTCGTTCCACTTCTGGATGAGTGGAGGCATCAGCTTCTGGATGTATTCCTGGAGGGAGAGCAGGGAGTTGGGACTCTCTGGGCAGAGGTGATGGCCTGAGAACCAGCAGGGCTCCCTGAGACTCTTAATAGCCCATCGCCTGAGCGATGAAGCCTGGGCTCCTCGTTGTGGCTCACGGGGCCCTGCAACGCCTCACCATCCAGCCAGACCTCCAGACTCTTCTGACCTATCCCAAGCCCCACCCTATCCACCCGTCCCTTCAGAAGCCTGGGTCAGCATCCTGGTTCCCACAGGCCCCTGAGCTCCCCAAGCACCGCACTTACCACACTGTATCATAACCGTCTGTCTCCCCCACTAGACTGGGAGCAGGGCGAGGGCAGGGGCCGGGTCTGCCTGCCTGCTGAGGTCATGGCCATGGCCCTAGTGTGCCGTCGACACAGGGTCGCTGCCAGGTCACCGGATGCCGGAGGGGAGCAAGGGATTGGGAGAAGGGAGTTGCAGCGGGGTCTCACCGGCTGGTTGAGGTGGTGGCCCACAGAGTCCGCCAACGTGCCAATGGCATCATAGAGGATGAGTAGGTTCTTGTGCTGGTACTTGCCAAAGGCAAAGACAAGGGTGTCCAGGATATAGCTGAGGTAAGGCACCAGCTCTGTGCAGGCCTCTTCCTCCAGGGTCGCGAAGGCACTGGAAGGTGGGAAAGGGCTCAGTGGGCATCTACAGGCGGGGGCTGGGCCATGAGCATATAGACAGGAGGGGGCACTCGGGATCAGCCAGTACGAATACGTTAGAAATCAGCGGATGTCAGGGGTACTGAGTGTCATCACTTCCCGGGGGGGCAGCCAGAGGCACAGGGGGTGAAGACTGTGGGGCCAGGGGTCAGAAGTCACCTGCAGGCTGCCTCCTGCACCCTCTTGTTGCCATCCAGAATGCGCTTAAGCAGTTCTGTCATCAGAGGCTTGAGGTGCATGTCCGGCGGCTGGCTGACCACCCAGTGGGCATAGCGGCTCAGTGTCCAGCAGGCGATGGAGCGAACCAGGGCCTTCTTGTCTGACAGGCACTGGATGAGATGCGGGATCAGCTCAGGAAGGTAGGGAACCATGCCCTGCATGCAGCCTGCAAGGAGGGCAGAGTGGCAAACCTGAGCTCAGCTGAGCCTGGCCACAACCACCCTTTAGGGGAAAAGATCAGCAAAACCTGATATATGGGGAAACTGAGGCTCAGAAATTAAATAAGTGGCTCGGAGTCACAGAGCCAGTGAAAGGTAGGGTCAGGAGGGGAAGGCATCAGAGCAAACCTTTCCCTGCCATCGGCTCCACCCCAACACGGTAACTCACTCACAGATGACCGGGCTGGACAGTAACTTGGGCTTTGTGGGCAGCAGTGACCCTGATGGATGTAAAATCCTTTTCTTTCAAAACCTTTCTGGGGTGTTTGTAATTTCTATTTTTCAACTTCTTTTTTAAAAAGAACCATGAGCCCCGGCTGGGTAGCTCAGTTGGACAGAGCGCTGTCCCAATGCTTCAAGGTTGTGGAATGATCCCAGATCAGGACACATACAACAATCAACCAGTGAATTCGTAAATGGGTGGAACAAAAAATTGATGTTTTTTGCTCTCTCAATGAATAAAAAATTTTGAAAAAAAAAGTTAAAAAAAAAGAACCGTATGTTTTTCAATTAGAGAACACAGACAATAGTACAACTCCTATTAAATAATCTGTTCTTATGGGTATGGAGTCAGTTCTTCTAGGTATTTTCCCATGAATATGTGGAACACCTAACGTAGTCAATTAACATATACACGTGCATTAACATAAGCTATACTACACTTACTTCGTGACAGATCCTCTCCTTACATAATTTTAAAGTATACCGATCATGCTATTATAGCTGTCCCAATTTTTTTCCCCTTTGCCCCCCGTTTACCTGGTAACCCCATTTCCTCCAGCATGTTCCCCTTAGTTCATGTCCATGGATCACGAATATAAGTTCTTTGGCTACTCCATTACCTACACCGTTCTTAACCCCTCCCCCCCGCCCCCGCCCCGGTCTATTTTGTACCTACTAATTTGTGCTTCTAAAGCCTTGCACCTTTCCCATTTTCCCCCATCCCCCTCCCAACTGATAGTCCCTCCAAATAGTCTCCATATCTATGAGTCTATTTCTGTTCTGCTTGTTTGCTATCTTGATTCAATTATTGATATTTGTGATTTTATGGCCATGTTAATGTTCATTGTTTTGATCTTTTCTTATATAATTTTCTTTAGCATCTCACATAGTGGCTTGGCAATGACAAACTCCTTTAGTTTTACCTTGTCTGGGAAGCACTTTATCTGCCCTTCCATTCAAAATGATAGCTTTGCTGGACAGAGTAATCTAGGTTGTAGGTTCTTGCTTTTCATCACTTTGAGTACTTCTTACCAGTCCCTTCTGGCCTGCAGTTTCTCCTGAGAACTCAGGTGATAGTCTCACAGGAACTACTTTACAGGTAACTGTCTGTCTTCCCTTGTTGCTTTTAAGATTCTCTCTTTAACCTTTGGCATTTTATGTGTCCTGGTGTGGTCCTCTTTGCGTCCATCTTGTTTGGGACTCTGATTCCTGTACTTGGATGTCTATTTCCTTCACCAAATTAGGGAACTTTTCTTGTATTATTTTTTTCAATTAAGTTTTCAACTTCCTAATCTCCCTCTTCTTCTGGCACCCTTATAATTCGGGTGTTAGTACATTTAAAATGTCCCAAAGGGCCCTGGCTGGTGTCGGTCAGTGAATTGAAAGCCAGCCTGCAAACCAAAGGGTCACCGGTTCGATTCCCAGTCAGGGCCCATGCCTGGGTTGCAGGCCAAGTCCCCACTAAGGGGTGTGTGAGACCATACACTGACGTTTCTCTTTTTCTCCCTCCTTCCCTCTCTCTAAAAATAAATTAAATTAAAAATGTCCCAGAAGTTCCTAAGCCTATCCTCATTTTTTTGCATTTTCTTCTTCCTGTGGTCCTGATTGAATGCTTTTTCCTTCCTGGTATTCCAAATCATTTATTTGATTCTCGGCTTCATGTCCTTCCTGTTGGTTCCCTGTAGATTTTCCTTTATTTCACTTAATGCAACCTTCATTTCTGCCTGGGCCTTTTTTATGGTTTTGAAGTACCCAGTGAGTTCCTGGGGCATCCTGCTAACCAATGCTTTAAACTATACATCTGATAGGTTGCTTATGTCCATTTCATTTAGTTCTTTTTCTAGAGATTTGTTCTGTTCTTTCATTTGGGCCACATTTCTTTGTCTCCTCATTTTGGCAGCCTTCACGTGTTTGTTTCTGCATATTCTGTAGACCAGCTTTGACTCCGACAGCTGCACCTGTTAAGTTGCATGGAGCGGAGCCTTACATAATTGCCAGGGTGGGGCAACTGTTTCACCACTCTGTGGCTCTGTATGGGAGAGGGCTCCCAGAAGGGACAATACCACTGCCTGGCCTCTAGAATTTTGCTTCAGAGGAAGCTGTCTCCCCATATGCCACTGGAGCCCTTCCAGCTGTTGCTCTAGTGTTGAATCCCACAGGCAACGGGTCTGTGTGAGTCCCAAGTTCATTGCAGGCCCTATAAGAGGATGCAGTTTCTTCTGCCACCCCAATCCCCATTGATTTTCACAGCCAGAAGTTAAGGGGACTTATATTCCTGGCACTGGGACCCTAGGCTGGGTGGTCGGGACTGGGGCTCGGATTCCTTGCTCCCAAGGTATCCCTCCTGTTTTTCGTCCACCAAACGTGGATATGAGACCGCTTGTTCCCATTGCCACGCCTGTCCACGCCACTCAGTGTCTCCATGAGTCTCCGCCCCTCCTACCCATCTGGATGAATGTGGCTTCTTTAAATCCTTGGTTGTTGAACTTCCACACAGCTCAATTTTCTGACAGTTCTGGGTGATATCTGTTTTGTAGCATAGCT